TTTATGTTTCTTCTTTCTTCCTCTCCTCGTTGTTTTATCTTTTAATTATGTCGTCTTTACCTAACTTTAAAATCATGTCGTGGAATGTTTGTGGAGCAGGGAATCAGAGCTTCCTTAGGGCGTTGAAACTGATTATCCGGCAGCATAAGTCGGACTTCCTCAAATAGTAATTTGCAATAATAAATTATCATTATCAAACTATTGCGCATTATCATTAACTCAAGGAGACAAATTCATCACCGTACCATATTGGTTGGAACAACTAGCAAGTAGTATTGAAGTCATCCGTTTGAGAACATGAGAGGAAAGCATAACCTCCAATAATGTTATGCATTATCATGTGCACATGGAGACAGGAAAATTGAAGATGATGGAGCCGAGTTGTGTGCTTGGATTAATTGGATGTTTGTTGATTTATCATACACGTATCTGCTTGGGAAAATTAGAAGGGCCATGCATGTGGCCAAGTTGCATCTGCAAATTATATCTATATATGTTGTATGGGTTTGTCAGTAGAGAAGTGTGAGCAAGAAACAAAAAAAAAATAGTCTTGCCGTGTATTTTTATTATTATTCTCTTTGAGTGATTTAAACATAAGCCAAAGTTACGACTATGTTTGATTTGAGTGAATTTTTAAATTGAGTGATTAAACACCAAATATTTCCTGTCTTGATCCAAAATTATCATTACTTCGGCTAATACCCACCAAATTTGGTATCAGAGCTAATACCATTTTATCCTCTCCAAACCCCCCACCTTTTTTAGCCTACACAAACTTTCTTAAAAAAAGCCATGGCAACAACTTCACCAAACACCATGTTTGCTACCTCCTTTAATCAAATTCCCTTTTTCGATGGAGAATTGTACGAGTATTGGAGTGCCCAAATGGAGTCAATTTTCATCTCTCAAGATTTGTGGAATATCGTCCAAGAAGGATATGAAGATCCACAAGACGAGTATGAAGACTCGAAGAAACAAGCAGACAAGCAGACAAAGGAGTACAAGGATAATGCCAAGCAAAATGCCAGCGCCTTGAGAATCATTCAACAAGCAGTGAGCAAATCTATTTACCCAAGAATCTATGGCATCAAAAAGGCTAAAGAAGCTTGGGATGTCTTGCGTAAACAATTTCAAGGTTCTAAAAAGTCAATCTCCATCAGGCGACAAAGTTTATGGCGCCAGTTCGACAACTTGATGATGAAGGAAACCGACACCATCAAAGACTTCCACTTACGTGTGGCGGAGACAGTCAACCAGATCAAAGCCACTAGTGACGTTATGGAAGAAAGAAAAATTGTGGAGAGAATTCTCCGCAGTTTGTCATCAAAGTTCGAGTATATTGTTGCTGTCATTGAAGAAACCAAAGATTTGGCAAATCTACAAATGAGCGAGTTGATGGGCTCACGTGTAGCACATGAGCAAAGAATGAGCCAATTCACCAAACCACCATTGGAGCAATCTTTGCCGTCAAAAGTCAACATGGCGGAAAGTAAATATGCCAAATCGGAGCAAGGCCAGAGAGGGGTAAACTCACAAGGAAGGGGAAGAGGAAGATCCAATTACAGAGGAAACAATAGGCAAAATTATGAACAACAAAAATCCGGCTACACCGGCTCGAGTTGCATAATTTGCAAAAAGGCGGGTCATGCAACAAAATACTATAGATTCAAGTGCACTGCAGAATTCAAAACCACTCCCAGAGAGATTGCTGGTTCCAAAACAAGTAAGAAGAAAGCGAATTCAGCGGCACCAAAAATGAAGAAAGCAATATGGTGGCCTTATCATGCTTGAATGGTGAGCAAAAATCACAGCTTCCTTGGATGGTGGATAGTGGTTGTAGTAACCACATGACTGGAGATCTGGAGTCCTTCACCAACATCGATGACAAATACCGCTCTCAAGTCAAATTGGGAGACGGAAAGAAGCTAAAAGTGGAAGAAAAAGGCACAGTTGTTGTATGCACAGAAGAAGGCAACAAAACTCTCATTCTAGATGTTTTGTATGTTCCGGAGCTAATTCTCAATCTACTGAGCATGGGACAACTGATACTAAAAAATTACAAGCTATTGTTTGATAATGGCGTGGGCGAGATTATCAACAAAGCTGACAATTTCATGGTGGCCAAATTCCCGATGACTTCCAACATAATTTTCTCTCTTGCTATGTCACAAAATGGTGAAGTAGCATTCAAGAGTGAAAATCTGGATCAATCCTCCCTATGGCATCTCAGATACGGTCGTCTCAACTTCAAAGGTCTAAAATTGTTCAGACAGAAAAATATGATGGTGGGACTTCCCCAGATCAACAGAGAAGACAAAATTTGTGAAGGGTGCATATGTGGCAAAATGCATCATTTGCCATTTCCAAAGATATCTTGGAGATCAAAAGTGCCACTTGAGTTGGTACATATAGACATATGTTGTCCAACCCGAACACAATCACTCGGCGGCAAAAGATATTTTCTACTATTTGTAGATGACTGCACCAGAATGATGTGGGTATTCTTTCTGGAGCAAAAGTTAGAAGCTTTTCCCAAGTTCCTTCAATTTCAAGTCGTAGTTGAGAAGGAAAGCGGCCATCAGATCAAAACTCTCCGAACAGATAGTGGAGGAGAATTTATTTATACTCCGTTCATGGAGTATTGTCGCAACAACGAATCAAAAGGCAATTGACGGTCCGTTACACACCACAACAATATGGCGTGGCAGAACAAAAAAACCGCACGATTGTGGAAATGGCGAGAAGTATGCTCAAAGCCAAAAATCTTCCCAACAACTTGTGGGCAGAAGCGGTCAATACAAAAATTTACATCCTCAACAGGTCACCTACCAAAGCAGTTCGGAACAAGACATCGATACATGCGTGGCACCACCGGAGGCCACAGGTGGATCAGCTCAAAGTCTTTGGGTGCATAGCTTATGAACACATATCTACTCCAAACCGAGACCAATTTGACTAGAAGGGAGAGAAGCTGATCTTCACCAGCTACAATGATGAGTCAAAGGCTATCGCCTTTACAATCCAGTAAAGAATGAAGTGGTGGTTTCCCGAGAAGTGATCTTTAATGAGATGGCGAAGTGGAATTGGGAAAATCCAATTTCTCAATATCCACCAAGTTATGAAATTCTGGAGGACTCAGCAACTCCAAAAGATCCCAGCAATGACCCAGATCCAGTTGCAAGTCCAGAAAGAAAGAATTCCGCACCTAGCCTAGAAGGAGACAACTTCAGAGATGTCGTAACAGACTCAGATTCACCTCCGTTGAGAACAAGGTCTTTACGAGAAATTTATGAAACAAGTCATGTTGCATATTTTTCTTGTGAACCTCAAGGCTTTGAAGAATTATCCAAAGAAGAAGTTTGGAACGAGGCAATGGATGCATAAATTTTTATGATCGAGAAAAATAAGACATGGGAGCTTGTTGATCAACCGCAAGACAAGCCGGTTAGGTCTCAAATGGATCTATAAGTTCAAATTCAATAAAGATGGTTCTATCCACAAGTACAAAGCCTGACTTGTGGAAAAGGGCTATTCACAATAGCCCAATATTGATTTTCACGAGACATATGCACCAGTAGCAAGGATGGAGACCATAAGATCAGTTCTCGCTCTAGCTGCTTAATTGGAAGTATACCAGTTGGATGTCAAAACAGCATTTCTGAATGGAAAACTGGAAGAACAAGTCTATGTGGAACAACCACGTGGTATGAGAAAAAAGGAGAAGAAGACAAAGTCTATCATCTTCGAAAGGCTCTATACGGGGTAAAGCAAGCACCGAGAGCCTGGAACAGCAGAATTGATCGATATTTCTAGCAAAATGGAATTCAAAGAAGTCCGAGTGAAGCATCTCTCTACATCAAAAAGGGGGAAGGCAAAGATTTTCTAATGGTGTGTTTGTATGTTGATGACTTAATTTACACAGGAAAAAGTCAGTGGATGATTGAAGAATTCAAAAGTACAATGATAAAAGAATTCGAGCAGACGGACTTGGGACTCTTGAAATATTTTCTTGGGATCCAAGTGAAGCAGTCACCTGGAGAAATATTTATTTCACAGGAGAAGTACACCTAAGATATGCTGAAAGATTTCACATGACAACGTGAAAACCAATCTCAACACCGATGGCGTTGAACGAGAAATTGCAATGCAATGATGGAGCTGAGAAAGTCGATGGAAAGCTGTACATAAGTCTTGTCGGGTCACTCATTTACCTAACACATACCAGGCAAGATATATGCCATTCAGTAAGTCTTATTGATACGACCCTGGGGTGTATTTTACCAAAGTCACGCAGCAATCAATCAATCCGAAGATTGATTGAACTCGAATCAAGAACAACGCGTTCTTAATACGAAATTGGGATAAAAAGGAACCAAAAGGACGATTCCACACCTGGGGAACGCTCGATTGGATTAAAGGATAGCTGCTCGACCATGATTGAAGAGGATATTCAATCGATACAAATCTCACAAACTTGGAATCCACCAAACTCAAAAAAGTCGCAACTTGCACAAAACCAAACGGTTTCTTTTCTATTCAATCAACTCTGAATTTTTACAACAAAATAGAACGGTATTTAAAGCCAAATAAAACCTAATACAATCCTAATATAACTAGGAATAAATTAAGGTAAAATTCTACACTAAAAAGGACACAAAATTTGGGTTTAAACCCTCTTTCTTCAAGCGCAAGTAAGCTGCCAGCAAACAGTCCAAAAACAGCTTTTGTACTAACTTCGCGCATTTCGTTCGAGGCCTTCTAGAACTCCGATCTTTCATCCAATTCCTTCACTTGGTAGATAAACATTCTTACTTTCATGTTGTAGAAGCCTTTTCACTTGCATCTCATCCATGCTCCTTGAATTGAGCTCCAAAGTAGGCTTCACAAAACAGTTTTCTGCCTTAGCCATTTTCTGGCAGTTTTCTAGTGTTGAGGTAGCAACTTTGAAGCCTTGGAAAACAACCTTAATGACATCATCTAGATCCACAAAGCATACCATTGTAAAGATAGAAACTTTATCTGCAAAACAAACCCTTAAAATTGAATTTGAAACTAGTCAATTGAGAGAACCATACCTCCAAAGTATGTACCCTGAACATAGATTTTGACTTAGCCAAATTATGCCCTTCTTCTTCCCAACTTCGTTGGCTTCTTCGTCAAGTAATTTAAACGTGTATGGTTTGCCTTTTGGGATCATAGCAGGCCCTCCCTCTTGAAATATTGTTGCCCTCAACACTTTGGCCTTTCTTTGCTCAAACAATACACAGAATGGATCCCAAATTGGATCGAAAGAGGGCTACTCGAACACAATCTTCGGCAGAATTTCAACATCTTCAATTCAAACTTCGATCTGTTCTACGAACTTTGAAGCTTGCAGGGTTGTTGTAAATGCTTTCTGGGGTTGAAATATACTAGCATTGACGTCCAATTTTTCCTGAATGGGATCGGAACAGCCACCACGTCGTTGAACTTCCTCTTTACACGTCAACTAGCTCGAACAAATTGGTGCTTTTGGTGTCAAGGATTTCCAGTGAAATTCGTTGACGCCAGGATCTTCTCCAGGCCCCCAATTGAATTTTCGAACCCCCTCCCAACCTCGAATCATCGTCATCACCTCCGATTCAGCCATACTTCCTTTCCCGCCGTCGCCAGTTTTCAAAAATTTTGAACCCAGAATTTCCAATTGGAAATTGGTCGATTATTGTTCGATCCTCTTCGCGTCGAATTGATGGATACTACACGTTCCTTGGACCTCCATGAATGGTTTTGACGGGCTGAATTTGCTCAAATCGAGCTGGTTTGCTTTACCCAATAGAGGGTCCTTGTTGCCGTTCTTGTCCACGAACAGAGGCATCCTTACGCGATCGAATTCTTCAATTTCAGGTTGCTTTGCCTCTATTGAAGTATCTTTTGATGTTCCTGGGTTCGTGGGTAACACACCCGCACCATCGGTGAGTTTCCACTCCTATCCAATCTTCCCGACCAATTCACTAGCACTGTGCTCGGGTTTGAGCATATTCAGAGCGCACTCTGCTCGATTTTGATTCTGAAAAATACAAGGATTCGTTTCCATGTGATCGAGGTGAGAGATTCTTGAGGCGCAATGGAACGTGTCGGTCTCCATGGTGGTCGTCGGATTTCTCTCCAGAGTCCCACCCATTCGACCCTCTCTCCTGCCATGTTTCGCCGGAGAATTGGAACGCTCTACTGCCCGCGTCACCAGGATGATTCGTATATCCTCAGTCTGATTCCGACCCTCTCCTCTCTTCTCTGAACTTTCCCCAACCTCGAGGTACTCATCTTGAGCCTGGTCGTGCTCTGGTTTCCTCTCCTCATCGCCGGCAAATCTAACAGAGTTCGAACTCTGTTTTCCCGTCGCAAAACAGAAGTTTGGACAGGGAATGGGGTCCAAGTCTGAGACAACCTGTGGAAGCTTTCGAAAGCACATGAAATTAAATCCAACACGTCTCTGTCACATAATTGAGCTCCTACGCTCTTTCCCTCATTCCTATTTTCCTCCATCTGCTTCAAATCACCATAAACTTCATCCGGCGAAAGAGGTTTCAGAATTACCTTCCTATCGTGATGCCTAAATTTGAATTTATTGCTCCGACAATCATGAGAAACTTGTCGATCAAATTGCCAGGGTCTTCCCAGCATCATATGAATGCAATTCATTGGCACAACGTCACAATTTACCTCGTCTTCGTAGCTGCCGATTTGAAAACGAACTACAACATGCTTCGTTATGTTAATTGTTCCGTGCTCATTCATCCAACTGAATTGATAAGGCTCTGGATGCCTCATAGTCTTCAATCCAAGTTCTGAACAGCGTCTAGGCTGATAATATTTGCACAAGAGCCTCCATTGATCACGAGCGATAATAATTTCCCACCGACAATGCATCTGCTGTGGAATAAGTTGTCTCTCTGTTCGTCGGATTCTCTGTGATTGATGACGACTGCTGGGGACTTCTCTTTGACACAAAATCGAGTCTGTTGGGGCTTGGAACTGCTTGCCACCATCTCCTTTGCGTAGAAAAGAATTTCCCTCGAATTTCAAGTACAAACAGCAACTGCAAAGGTACGTACACAGGGGCTGCCCTGTTTTGCTCAAGAATTCTGCTTGTACCGAAGTAATTGATTGCTTTGTCTCCTTTGCCCTCGTGTAGAACGGGGCTCTGATACTACTTGATACGACCCAGGGGGGTGTATTTTAGCAAACTCGAATCAAGAACAACGCGTTCTTAATACAAAATTGGGATAAAACGGAACCAAAAGGACGATTCCACACCTGGGGAACGCTGGATTGGATTAAAGGATAGTTGCTCGACCGCGATTGAAGAGGATATTCAAACGATACAAAGCTCACAAGTTTGGAATCCACCAAACTCAAACAAGTCCCAACTTGCACAAAACCAAAATGTTTCTTTTCTATTCAATCAACTCTGAATTTTTACAATGAAATAGAACGCTATTTAAAGGCAAATAAAACCTAATACAATCCTAATAGAACTAGGCAAAAATGAAGGTAAAATTATACACTAAAAAGGTCACAAAATTCGGGTTTAAACTCTGTTTCTTCAAGCGCAAGTAAGCTGCCAGCAAACAATCCAAAAGCAGCTTTTGTACTAACTTCGCGCCTTTCGTTCGAGGCCTTCCAGAACTCTGATCTTTCATCCAATTCCTTCCCTTGGTAGATAAACATTCTTACTTTCATGTTGTAGAAGCCTTTTTGACTTGCATCTCATCCATGCTCCTTGAATTGATCTCTAAAGTAGGCTCCACAAAATAGTTATCTGCCTTAGCTATTTTCTGGCAGTTTTCCTGTTTTGAGGTAGCAACTTTGAGGCCTTGGAAAACAACCTTAATGAAATCATCTAGATCCACAAAGCATACCATTGTAAAGATGGAAACTTTATCTGCTATACAAACCCTTAAAATGGAATTTCCACATAGCCAATTGAGAGAACCATGCCTCCAAAGTATGTACCCTAAACATTGATTTTGACTTAGCCAAATTCTGCCCTTCTTCTTCCCAACTTCGTTAGCTTCTTCGTCAATAATTTAAACGTGTATGGTTTGCGTTTTCGGGTCATATCACTTATATCAAGATTTATGAATGAACCTAGCAAACTTCATTTTGCAGCAGCCAAAAGAATTTTGTGGTATCTTCAAGTTACAAAGAAATTGGGCTGATGTACAAGAAAGAAGCAGAAAGCAAGCTGACTGAATTTACCGATAGTGACTGGGTAGGATCACTAGATGATCGAAAAAGTGCATCGGGGTACATATTCTGTTTGGGTTCAAAACCCTTTTCCTGGAGTTCAAAGAAGCAGAAGAATGTGGCTTTATCTTCAGCGGAAGCATTATATATCGCAGCTATAGCTGCAGAATGCGAAGCGGTAGGGCTTAAAAGATTAATTTCTGATTTGCAGCAAAATGAAAATGGTCCAACCATTATTCATTATGACAACATGTGATAAGCCGTTAATTGCACATGTTTTTACCCTTATTCTAGAGCCGTTTGAGATGGTAATTCTTGTGTTTTAGGCCGATTTCACGCTAGGTTGTGTTTGTTTGTGATATATCAGGTCCTAGCAAGTGAATGAAGGTTTAGGAGCGAGTTCGGGGTCGATAGGACGAAGATCGGGCGCGAGGCAAGTCAAAAAGGAAGCCACACGGGCACACACAGAAACCACACGGCCGTGCAAGTAACCAATTTGGCCGTGTGGGATTGTGCGAGCATTCACACGGGCACAAGTAAATCCCACACGGCCGTGTGAAGTTGCAATTTGGCCGTGTGGAATTCTGCGAGGCTTCACACGGCCAGGTTGGGTGAGCTACACGGCCGTGTGACCCTAGCTGTGTGGGAAGCCTGAAACCCAATTACTCGGAACGCGGCGTTTTGACCTCACACCGGCAACTGGGTATGCCACACGGCCGTGTGAGCCTGCCCGTGTGAGTTGGGAATTTCTGGTTTTTACCCAATTTCGGGCTGCATGAGTGGGAATCGGATTTTCAGAGCAAAAACAGAGCCCAAGAGAGAGAAAGTATGAAGAACACATCCTAGAAGCCATCTTGGAGCTGGGTTTCATCAAATCGAGCTTGGAGATCGTCATAGGAGTGGAAATCATCATCCCAGAGAAGATTCTTCCCATTGATATGAGTATGATTGCTTTGTATTCTGTTTTCTTCTCTCTCTCTATGGAGTAGAACCCTTCTCTCACTTGGGTAGGAAGAACCCTAGTTCCATGTGTTAGGGATTTGATTGTAATGACTTGGGATGATATTACTGTTTGGTTTTAATCGAATGATGCATGTTTATTGAGTCAATTGAAGTCTGATCAGCTTTTCCTGATTTCTGCTGCAACCTGAGATAGATAGAATCTGATTAGGTTGTTAGAGCCTCATCGTTCGGTAGTAGGAGATTGGCTATACGAGAGTTAGCCAGTTTACTGCTTTGTACTGGAATCCAATTCAAGTAGTGGAGTTCTGTGCTTATTGCTTTAGCTTTCTATCCCGGTGAAGACTAGTCGTCTGCCGGGTAGTTAGACTGAGAGGGCTTGGTCAACTTAAGAGATTCCAAGCTACTGTAGGATCTTCCGCAGTCTAATCAACAGTAAATCAACCCAGGGAAATTACAATTGAAACTTAACTGAGGAGCTAGGGGGACTCATTCCCGAGTGACTCTTCTTTGCTTGAGAAAACCGTACCAATTCCTGCTTTCTTTCTGCTTTTGCTTAAAACAACAAACACTTAACTTAGTTAGCTAGATAATAGATACTCACGGAGTAAGCAGTAGATCTAGACCCCGGGTTGATAATAGAACTTGCCATTTTACTGCATTCCCGGACTGCGATTACACTTGGTCGCAGTTTGGTGTTGTGTTTTGGCGTGTCAAGTTTTTGGCGCCGTTGCCGGGGACCCTCTAGGTTATTGAGGAAACGTGCAAATCTGTTACTCTAGCCTTTTATTTACTGCATTTTATCTCTTCCACCTGTGTGCCTTCACGGGTTGCTTCTGCTGATTGTGTGCAGGTAGTGCATGACCCGTAGCCAGTCGGGAGATCTACTACCATTAGACCAGGAGCTTGAACGAACTTGCAGAAACTTCAAGCGGGCTCTAAAGGCTCGACTAGCTGCGGAGGAGGCGCTAGCACAGCTACAGATCACTGACGAAGAGGAGATGGCTAATCCACAGGACCATGATGTGGTCAATCCTGGGGAGCAGACCATAGGACATTACTGGACCGCCAGGGTTGCAGACATGAGGTCACCCATTCAACACCCTCATGTCCCAGCCAATAATTTTGAGGTGAGTACCTCAGTAATCACCATCCTGCGCGGTTCAGTGGTGTTCCGAGGCAAAGAGGGGGAGTGCCCTCGTTCACATCTCAGGCGATTCCACGAGCTCATCGATGGAATCAAGATCAATGGGGTCCCAGCAGATGCCATCCAGCTGTGGTACTTCCCATTCACCCTGGAGGGGCAGGCCAAGGAGTGGTTAGACACTCGACCTCCGGGCTCTATCACCACGTTCGCCACCCTGGCGGACAAGTTCCTCACCCGCTACCATCCTCCATCCAAGACAGCCGACCTGCAGAAGCAAATTACCCATTTTGCTCAGGATGAGGATGAGACCATCAGGGATGCTTGGGAGAGATACACCAGTCTCTTCCTCAAGTGTCCCAACCATGGTTTTACTGATGCCTTCAAGGTGGGAACCTTCTATCATGCTCTCTTCCCGGAGGACAAGTAGCTGATTGACTCGGTCTATGGCGGGAATATGCTCACCAAAACGCCGCCACAGCTGAATCAACTTTTTGAAGAGATGGCAGAGCAGGGATATGATTGGGGCACTTCCAGGAGATCGAGAATAGCACCAGAGCGGGGTGTGCATGCTGTCGCTACCCAGTCATCTGATTTGGTGCAAGTGGTATCAAAGCTGGTTTCAGCCATAGATCGCTCGGGATTGATTACAGGTACAGGACAGCCGCAGGCGATGCACTGCCAGTGGTGTGAGAGCTCCCATCACACCGTGGAGGACTGTCAGGCGATGAGGGAGTCGTCTACCCCCCAGGAGCAGGTGTACTTCATCAGTAATGCCAGGCGCTTCGACCCCTACAGCAACACTTATAACGAGAGGTGCCGCCAGCATCCCAACTTCTCCTGGGGGGGCAAATTCCAGACCACCAGTTCCCCAGGGACCACCTGGCTTCCAGAGGCCTCCTTACCAGCCCAGACAAGGGCAATTTCAGCAGCCACAGTAGCCACTCTACCCACCCAGACAGGGGCCAGTTCAACCTCAGTCACAGGTGCGGCCATTTCAGCAGACAGGGGCGGCACCTGCAGCCCCAGCTCAGAGTGACCCGATGGCGGAACTGCGAGATCTGGTAGGTTCTCTGGCCACCTCCAGTGCAAACAAGTTCAATAACATGGAGCAGTTCATGGAGAAAGCTTCCGGCAAATTCATGGAGCTAGAAGCTGGTTAGAGAAACACGCAGGCTGTTCTTCGGGTTATCCCGACCCAGCTTGGGAGTGTTGCCCAGGCTGTAGCTACGAGGCCTCCTGGTACTATACCTGGTCAGACCATCCCTCATCCGCAGAACCCGAATGAGCACTGCGGGTCCATTACCACCAGGAGTGGCAAGGTGACTGTTGATCCACCTGTTCGGGCAGAAGAGAGAGAGACCCCTGCTTCAGCACTTCCAGCTAATGAAGATGAAATGGAGAAGGAGGTTGAGG